GAATGATGACAGAAATGGTCAAAGCAATACCAAACGTCATCAAATCACAAAAGAATACTAGAGCAAAAGCCGAGAAATGATAGCTCTATGAAACAGTCAGAAAATAATTAACAAAAGGGTAGTTGTAAGTGTTTACTAATCAATAATTACTTGAAATGTACATGGATTAAATTCTCTAATAAAAACAGAGAATGGCTGAATGGAAAAAAAAGAAGAGCCAATAATATGCTGCCAATAAGAAACTCAGCATTAAAGACAAAAATATACTGAGGGAAAGGATGGAAAAAGAAATTCCAAGCTAATGATAACCACAAAGAATCAAGGACAAATAAACTCATTTCAGATGAAATAAAAATTAAACTAAAAATGGTAACGCAGACAAAGAAGTGCATGCACAATGACAAAGCAATCAATCCATCAAGAATATATAGCAATTATAAGTATTTATGCACAAAACATCAGAGTATATAAATATATAAAGCAAATATAAACAAAACCAAAAAGGAGAAATAAACAATAGTACAATACTTAGAAACTTTAATATTCCATTTTCAAAAATATTTCATCCAGAAAATTGGATAGCTACAGGTAAAAGAATGAAATTTACACACTCACTAAAACCACACAGCAAAATAAACTCAAAACAAATTAAAGACCTAAATGTAAAAGATAGTATACAGACACTATAAGACTCTTAGAGGAAAACATAGGCAGTGCACTTTTTGATGGAAATCGCAGCAATATCCTTTTGTATCCACCTTTGAGAGTAATGAAAATAAAAGCAAAAATAAAGAATTGTGACCTAATTAAAATGAAAAGCTTCTGCATAGCAAAGGAAACCATCAACAAAATGAAGACAGCCCACACAACAGGAGGACATTTTTGCAAATGATGGGATTGACAAGGGGTTAATCTCCAAAATACACAAACACTTCACACAGCTCAGTATCTAAATAATAAAGAACACAATCAAAAGGTGGCAGAAGATCTAAATAGACATTTCTCCAAAGAAGGCATACAGATGGCCAAGAGGCACATGAAAATACACTCAACAACACTAATTATTAAAGAAATTCAAATCAAAACTACAATGAGGCATCACTTCATACCAGTCAGAATGGCCGTCATCAAAAAGTCTGTAAACAATAAACGCTGGAGAGGGTGTGGAGGAAAGGGGACCTTCTTACGTCATTAAGTGGAAATGTTAGTTGCTCAGTCATGTCCAACTCTTTGCAACCCCATGGACAGTAGTCCACCAGGCTCCTCTGTCCATGGGATTCTCCAGGCAGGAATACTGGAGTGGGTTGCCATTTCCTCCTCCAGAAGATCTTCCCGACACAGGGATGGAACCTGCATCTCCTAAATTGACAGGCGAATTCTTTACCACTGAACCACCTGAAAAGAAAGAAAGTAAAGTTGCTCAGTCACATCCAACTCTGAGACCCCATGAACTGTAGCCTACCAGGCTCCTCCATCCATGGGATTTTCCAGGCAAGGGTACTGGAATGGGTTGCCATTTCCTTCTCCATGAACCACTTGGGAAGCCCCTAATTCAAAAAGATACATGCACTATAATGTTCACTGAAGCACTATTTACAAATAGTCAAGACATGGAAGCAATCTAAATGCCCATCAGTAGATGAATGGATAAAGAAGATATTGTACATATATACAATGTAATATTACTCGGTCATGAAAAGACTGAACTAGTGCCATTTGCAGCAACATGGGTAGACCAAGAGATTATTATACGAAGTTAGACAGAGAAACACAAATGTTATACATATGTGGAATCTAAAGAAAAGATACAAATAAACTCATTTTATAAACAGAACTACACTCACAGACTTACAAAACAAACTTATGGCTATCAAAGGGGAAAGATGGGAAAAAATAAATTAGAAGTTGAGATTAACAGATACATACTATATTTAAAACAGATAATCAACAAGGGCCTACCATGTAGCACAGGGAAGTATATTCAGTATTTTATAATAACATATATGGGACAAGAATCTGAAAACAAATAGATATATATATATATATATATAAATAACTGAATCACTTTGTTGCACACCCAAAACTAATACAACATTTAAAATCAACCATACTTCAACATAAAATTTAAAAATTTTAAGTGAAGATACAGAAAACTAAAATTAAAAATGAAAAGACATTACAATGGCTATCACAAAAATAAACAGGATTTTAAGAGACTACTATGAATCAGTTCAGTTCAGTTGGAAAAGCCAAGATAAATTCTTAGAAACCTAGACTGAAATACACAAAAATATTAAATATGTGACTAGATCAATAATGAATAATTAAATTGAACCAGTAATCAAAAGCCACATAATAAAGTAAAATCCAAGATGTGGTAGATTCACTAGCATATTTTATCAAACATTTAAAGAAGAATGATCTCAAAGAGATATTTACACACACATGTTCCTTGCATCGCTACTTATAATAGCGAAGAAGTGGAAGAAAGTCAAAAGTCCATTAATAGGTGACTGGATAAAGAAAATATTGTATAGGGGGACATAATGGGACATTTTGCACCCTTAAAAAAGGACATAATGCCACATATTACAACATAAATGAAAGTTTAGGACATTATGCTAAACAAATAAAATGAACTCTGTACTCATTCATTAGGAAACAGTTTGAGAAGTGAATAATTTCACACTGGTGGGCTATTTCAAGAAAAGGCACTAAGAGATCTTTTGCAAGCTCCCCACTGGGCTTCATGAAGATCACAGTCAATTCTCAAACCTGCCACAGGTAACCACATAGCAACATATATTTTGTTTAAATGAAGTTGTTGAAACCTTTTTAGCTGTATCGTAATAAAGAACATTTTCTGTGTGAGGAAAAAAAGGTGGTTAAAAAATAATCCCGTTAAGAAAAAAAAAAGAAAGACGACTACAAAGGTTTTAAGATCGCTGTATTAATGAGTAGATAAAAGGGTCTGATAAAAGTGCAAAAAGGTCTCTGGGCTTCCAATCAAATAAATAATTACCAGTTTAAACCATTAAATTTTGGAGAGGTATGCCACACAGTCAGAGACAACTTACAGTTACCTTAAAGTCTGCTTTGCCTTTAATTTTAGAATTTTTGTTTTTACAGTATAGTTTTATAGCCTTCTACTTTCATGACATACCATAGTATTTTTGATATGTCAGTTGTAAGCAGAGGGTATACATAGGTATGTATGTGTGTTATGTGCATGTATGTCTTGCATCATACTCTGTTCTGTTCTTTGAATTAAACCTTATCATCGGATCTTATTTATTCATTTATTGGCTGCATTGGGACTCTGTTGCTCTGTGCGGGCTTTCTCTAGTCACGGCTAGTGGAGGCTACTCTCTCACTGCAGTGTGCGGGCTTCACACTGGGGTGGCTTCTCTGGTTGTGGAGCGCAGGCTCCAGGCTTGTGGGCTTCAGCAGTTGCAGCTCACGGGCTCTAGGGTGTGGGCTCAGTAGCTTCAGGACACAAGGGCTTGTTTGCTCCACAGCATGTGGGAACTTCCCAGACCAGGGATCAAACCCACGTCCCCTGCACTAGCAGGGAGTTTCTTAAACACTGGACCTCCAGGGAAGTCCTTAACATTGGATTTTAACTGCAGTACTCAGTCCCTCTACATCTACTATAGTTATTTATATATTTTACTTGAAATATTTTATCTTAATCTTAGCTTTTAAATTTATTTATGAAATATTTAATATACAACATTTTTCTTTCCCTTTTTTGCCTTCCTTACGCTAATTGTGCTTAAGATTCTGCTCTCTTACTTTGAACTGCTTTGTAATTTTATGGAAATATGATTTTAGAGTATGTGTTGGTCACCTTAGCCATGATAAAAAAAATCCTCCATTTCTTTAATGAGTCATGCACTTCAGTCTCTGTGACCTCTGCCAAGAGTTAGCTCAGCTTCCCTGACTCATATTTACCTCTCCAGAATCAATGACTTCCTACTGGGAAAAAATATATTTTATAGCTTATATCTTAAAATTTTAATGCCTACCAGTTTTCCGGGCCTCATGTGTGATTTTTTGTTTTGCTAGCCCTTGATATGGCGGTTGAATTTCTTATGGATTTTGAGTTCATGTACGGCTGACATTCATCTGCAGGAAGCCTGCTTAAGCTTGCATTCCTCCAGAGAAAAGTATGACTTGCTCCCATCAGCTACCCTCAAATCTGCCAACCTGGGTCAAATGTAGCTTTCTAGTTTAGACTCTACTAACCACTTATGTTGTATAAGCGCAAAACCTAAACCCTGAAGTACAGTCATGCATCCTCATTATGAGAATTGTCATTTCATCGACCTTGAACTTAGTTGAACAAAACATAACTTGTTTACCTAGAACTTAGCTAGAACAAAACAGATAACTCATTTTCTCCTTTAGTGGCGTATTTGTTTTATAGTAGACTACTCTTCTGGCTCAGATGGTAAAGCGTCTGCCTTCAATGCAGGAGACCCAGGTTCGATGCCCAGGTTGGGAAGAGTTCCTGGAGAAGGAAGTGGCAACCCACTCCAGTACTCTTCGCCTGGAGAATCCCACGGACAGAGGAGCCTGGTGGTCACAAAGAGTCAGACATGACTGAGTGACTTCACTTTTCACTCTTCCAATTAAGCTGAGGAAATTAAATATTATTGTATGTGGGGTTTGAGAGTTTGGAAGAATTCTAATCTACATTTCCATTGAGGATGTAGCCCTTCTGGGAAAAAAAAAAGAAAACTAGCAGGCAAGCTTTAAAAAATGAAAAGATAGTTCACTTGACAAAAGCGATTAAGAGCGCCTATAATACAAAATAAATGGATTAACAAAAACTTGGTATAGTCACAATTTTTAAGAATTCATTCATGGTAAAAGCAAAATAAACATTTATCAGAAAATGGTTTTTAAATTTTCATTATATCATTGAAATCAAGTTAAGACAATTATTAAATCATTTAAAAATATAAATGCAAAAAAAAAAAAAGGAAAAAACTTACCAGATTTTTATCCACAACAATATACATATCAATGTATCGGGAGGATAATTTGGTATGGCCAACTCTCTGAAAAACATATAACATGACTCCTGAGAAATTTGCAAAAATGTACATTCTATTGAAATTATGTTCAGAGATAAACTGAGAGACATGTTGCTACTGATTATATATTAAGGTGATTTTCAAATACAAATTTTAGGTACTATTCAGAAAATTCCAGTCCAAAATATGCCTATGAATTTTCAGTGAGATTCAGCGCTCTACATAATACCCAGGCATAATTTGATTTTTACAATAGCTGATATTAGAAATATTAAGTTTATAACATAAAATTTTCCTTTGTTTGTGTGCTCATTCAGTGGTGTCTAACTCTTTATGACCTCATGGACTGTAGCCTGTCAGGCTCCTCTGTCCATGGGATTATCCAGACAGGAATACTGGAGTGGGCTGCCATTGCCTTCTCCAGGGGATCTTCCCAACCCATGGATCAAACTCATGTCTCCTTTGTCTCCTGCAGTGGCAGGCAGATTCTTTACCACTGGGCCACCAGGGAAGCCTTCCTTTCCTTAGCCTTGTGATCATTTTTCATAGAAATCTTTCATGTGGGCAGATTTTTTGCTATCAATTATTAGAAACTACTTTTGACAAACCATGTAGTTCAGAAAAATATTACCAAAGTTTACAATCACTGACAGCTCACTGGATCCAGGAATGTTATTTATGGCAGCTTACAGGTCTTTGTGGAGGAAGAATTCATCAGTTTGCTTTACACATACCTTATGCAAGCCACTATTATTATTCATTTCTGAATTCTCACATAACAAAGACTCATTTAGAAATTCAGATCACATATTCACTCAAATTACCAGAATAAATCAGGAAAAGGAAAAATTTACATTAATTATCCAAATGCCCACATATGAAAATTAGCTTTTTGGTTTATTTATTCTTATATTCACATATCTGTTTCCAAAATCAATTACCTAAGTTTTTGCCAAACTTTCATCTAACAAGAAGCATAACAAAAAATTTCATTCTGTATCCATCTGAAAATCATGAAATGCCATCAGGAAAAAGTAAAATAAACTTAAAATTTATAAGTCACCAAATTTTGCTCTGCAAGTATTTTTCATTTTATAATATTACACAGAATATATTATAATAAGGAGTCCACACTTACTTCTGAACTTTTTCTGACTTTATACTGTGAGCTCTCATAGCTGTAAGTGTCATTTTTCAGTAACAGAGGGATAGGATTTATATCACTTTTTTCTTCATAAATCACATGCATAAATCCTGATACAGACTCAACTGGTTCAACTGCATATGAGATGTTTTTAAACTGCAGTATTCCCCTGAATGGTAAAATAATCAAAACAAATCTGAAATTATTCTACTGGAACTGTAATTCTAATAAGAAATGTTGGCCAAAAAACAATTTTTTTTACATTTAAAGTCACCTTGGTTTTTCTATTTATCTCTCTATTCCTTTAAGTATTATTCTAGAACTGGATAGTAATAACACAGTATATGTCTGGCTTTTTATCACAAATATTCTAGTAGAAATATTTTTATTATCTTAAAAAGAAACCAGTGTTAATGGCATACATCTGTCAACTTAAAAAAATGCACAATGAGAGAGCTGCAAGGTAAGTTTTATTTGGGAGCAAAATGAGGACTGCAGCCCAGGTGATAGTACCTCAGATAGCTCTAACTGTTCCAAAGAGGTAGCGGGGAAGGAGAGTTTATACGTGATTTTTGTGAATGTGGTGTACATGCAATCAAGCATGTATTGTTTGTAGAAAGTTTCTGCTAGTCTCATGAAGCTTCTGCTAGCCACAGGAAATAGTCATCACCATGAAGGATTTTATTGCTTTTCTAGCTATGAGGAAATACAAGCACTGGGCTCATAAAATCAGCTCCTGAGACTATCTAACTACCTAAAGACCTGTTCTGCCAGTCTTCACAGAGCACAGAGTGCCTCATTTCTGCTCTCAACCCTGAACTTCACTCCTTCAGGGGGTACAAATTCAGCAGGAGCATACGATTTAATCCTTGTTGAGGCAGATGGCAAGGGCCAATATGTAGGCACATCTACACACACCTATGACACATCTATGTGTTTAAACAGGTTAAGATCTCTACCTAGGGTGTTGATGTTCTAACCAAGATTTTAGCCATAGGCACTCTTTTCCTTCGTTTAGATTCCTTTCTTCTCTTTGAAATCCCTATATCTCCCCTGACACTTCATGTTCTAAATCATTTGTGTGGCTGAGTTAAAGGTGCTATCTGCCTGAGAATGACTGTAAACAGAGCCAAAGTATCAGTCAGACTCAGGCATTCCACACTGTCAGTCATTCTAGGAAATTAAGACAACTGTAAAAACATAAAGAACTTGAGAAAACTAGTATGCAGAGACCCAATCAACACTACCTATACTCAAGATTGCTCAAAGCCTCAAGGAGCATAGCCTGTTAGAATCAACATGTAGACTCCCATCTGGAATGGATACTACCAGGGTGACTAACTTTATTGTATCAGTAATTCTGGTTCACTCCATAGGAAATTGAAATAATAAAGGTGACTTTAGAACTAGAGAAAGTACTGGAGGATAAATATTACAGTTTAGCAAGATCTAATACTGGCAAAAGGAGTATCTCTAAATGGGCTACAACCTGAGTCCCGAACAAATGTTGAGTGATACAAGAGAATTTGGAAAACCTGCAACATATCCATGATAACTGCAATCCATCTGAGAAAAAAGAAAACACAGAAAAAAAAGAAAAAGGTTAACTTCTTTTTTAAATGGACATTCCAGATACCTCATTTGTATTTTTTACTTTCACTACCTTAGTACTTTAATATGAATGGCCACGACCCAATGAGTTGTGCCAGGCAGAAATAAAAATTAGTTCAGGTTATTTAATTTCACTAAATGTGTGAAATAACATTCCAGTTATTTCATAATATTTATATTTTAAGGAAAATTCAGAATAAGAAATCTGTAACAAAGAAACCTAAGTCTTACATGAGCTGACAAAGGCTGATGATGTTGGATGTCATTTTTGTCATAAAAGTAAACAACAGAAGCTGAAGATAAAAACGACCTAGACAGAAATCACAAAAACATGGTCAAATTGTAAACAGAAAACATAGAAAACTTATTCTTCATAATACAAATTTTCTTTTTAAAGTAGTGCCAATTATCTTGGCGTATCTTATTGCCCAGATTCTGGTCATTTAAATAAGTTTGGGACAGAGGGAGGTATTTTAACTACAGTGACATAATACAAAAATGCACGATAATGAACAACTCAAACTGCTAGAAATATCAAACAGTGAAATAAGACAGGTCTCAATTTTCAGCATAGAACTTTCAAATCCTGGTCATTATTGCTCATTAATTCTAGATTTCAAATTTGAATCTCAAAATTAAAATGTAGGGTTAGGCAAAAATTTTGAAAGATTTTCTTAGCATCACTACAAAATTCACATTCACTAACCTTAACTAACCTTAACTGTGGTGTTGGAGAAGACTCTTGAGAGTCCCCTGGACTGCAAGGAGATCAAACCAGTCAATTCTAAAGGAAATCAGTCCTGAATATTCATTGGAAGGACTGATGCTGAAGCTGAAGCTCCAATACTTTGGTCACCTGATGCGAAGAACTGACTCATTGGAAAAGACCCTGATGCTGGGAAAGATTGAAGGCAGGAGGAGAAGGGGATGACAGGGGAAGAGATGGTTGAATGGCACCACCGACTCAATGGACAATGAGTTTGAGCAAGCTCCAGGAGTTGGTGATGGACAGGGAAGGCTGGCGTGCTGCAGTCCATGGGGTAACAGAGTCGGACACGATTGAAAAACTGAACTGAACTGAACTGAACTGAACCTTAACTGAGTAAAGTTCTTCTCAATAACCCTGGTCAGAATTTTCTTTCATTCTCCTCAGTAATTATACAAAAACTTGACGTCGTTCCTGCCAATTGTCTTAGTAACTTCCATGTCACCTCACTGTCAGATCCCCTGTACCCTACCTTACTCCTTATCTTTGAGAATGATTGCTTCTTTTGTTCAAAGAAAACCCTCACACCTGTACTATGCATCTTATTCTGTGCCATGTATTGAGGATACATCACTTTACTAGTACTGTAATTTCAAGCTCTTCCTCTCTACTGTTTTTATCTTAATACTACTGAAAAGTTTACTGTCAAGTCATTATCATCCTGAATAACTGTCCCTCAGCTTCTGTGTCTTCCTCTCGCTATTCCCTACATATTTTCAATTCTCAATAGATTTTATCGAAAGAGTAGTCTACACACAGTTTCTTCACTTAGTCAATTGTTACTCACCCTTAACTGCTCTAGAAAAGATCCATAACCACCAGAATGTCAAATCCAAAAGACAATTTTAAAACAACCATTGCACTGGACTTCTGGTATCATTTTTAAAACTGTGGCCACTTTGTCTATTCACTTAATTTAAATCACACATCACTCATGCTTCTCTTCCTACCTCCCTGACCCTTCTAGCTTGATCTTCTTTTGGCAGAACCAAAAAGAGAAATACTGGTCTTTCCCAAGATTCCATCTTTAGCCACCTGTATGTTTGTAAGCACTCTGTAAGTTCTCATTTTTTTTAATTACTGCTAAATCTATATTGCCAATCTCTCCTTAGAGATTCAAATTCCTATATTTGTATACCTAATGGAAAAAAAGCCACTTGAATATCTTACAAGCAATGCAAACCAAACTCACTCCTCAGATAAATATCTCCTTCATTAATACCCCTCATTTTATTACACTATAACCCACGAATTTTAAGCAACAACTAAATTATACAAAATTCCTCACTGTTTCCCAATCATCCTAACAAATCTGTCCTCAATATCTACTGAATTTTTCTTTCCAGTGCAATGATCACTGTTCAAGCTACTATCATCATGCACTTAAACTATTAGATAATCATATAATTAGACATTCCACTTCCATTTTTACCCCCTCAAAAACAGCCTATGAGACTCAATGGACCTATATAGGTATGTGTTTAAAAATATTTATGGCTTCTAATATCCTTACCATGGCATTAAAGATCTTCTACAGTCTGGCTCCTGCCCACTTTTTGAAAATCTTTTACTTTTATCCTCAAAAAATATGTCATTCAGTCACTCTCACACTGACTTTCTGCACACCACAAAATCTACTCTGTATCAACCTGCAGAAGATTTCCTCAAAACAGAATACCCCAAACACTACCCCACTTCTTTTAGAACTAAGTATCTTTCCTCAAGTCATCTCTTTGTGAAAAGCCTTCCCTGATTTCCAAAGACTATTATCTACACATTTATCACAATATTGCATTATAAAACAACTCTTCATTTATCTATTGATGTGTCTGAATACATCTTTATTACAAATTATTTAACTAAGACTACTGTTTCATTGCCTTTGGTGTGCTTAGGACTTTACCCAAAAACTGATATATAATAGGTATCAAATGTATACACATATCTAATAAACAGTTGAATTAAAATGATTCTATGCATAATTATTTTTTAAAATCAATACACCAAAAAATTAAAATTTTAAAAGATAAAATAATTACTTACTGCTTTGTAAGATGGACAAAATATGGATTTCCTCCTATTGTAATGACATAAGCCACCTGTACGTGAGCATCCAAAAAAATCAATAACACTTACAAACATTATGCTAAATAAAGTTTTCTCTAAGTTATCCTTTTAAGATTGACAAAATTAATAATAATACATAACTATTGTATGTGCTTCTTTTGCCATGTGGATATTCAAATCTTCAGAATTCTGAATTGAGGACTACATGGTAGCATTCCCACATGTCTGCTATTCACCATTACTGACATATCTGAGGAATAAGCTTGCTGATAATCATCTGTTGTCTAAGACACACACCACCAACTCACCATGCCCAAGGTAAATGCCAAGATGCCCACCTCACTTGAGAGAAACCATTTCTTGCTCACTCCCAGCCCTCCTAGAAAGTAAATTTTCCTGCTCATTGGAACAGACACTTCCAAAAGGCAGAACTACAAGAAATGTATCACACCTGTGGCAAGATAACACAAGTACCATTGTACTTTGCTTATCGAATGCAAGCAATGAAATTCCTCTGGAAGAGAATGTAGGAGAGAACAGAGGAAGATCACAGACATGCCTAGAGAACCCTCTAGAAGATAATAGAAAATATAAGATTCATTAAATTATTTGGTTAATTTTTTTTTTTGGTTAATTTTAAAAAATTATTTTAGCAAGAGAAATAGCCATTTAAAAGTTTTTAGTTCTTCAACTTTCTATTATAACAAAGCAAGATTCTCTGCAATAGACAAATGCTCTGTAAAGAATCATTTGAATGGCACTCTGGAAAGAAGTCTGAATGGAGTCTAGAGGGGACCTGAAAATTGTGCCCTCTAAAAATGCCTTGTTATTAAATAAATATGATGAAAAGAAAGGGGAAAAACAACAAAATTAGGATGCAATTAACAAGAAATGTACAAAACTGACAGGAAGAAAAAATTCCAAAAAGACATCATCCAGAGCTTCTACAAACTTTTATACACAAATCCAACTGTTTGGGTTCAATTGTTTTCTCCCTCCATCCAAATTTACATGTGAATTCCTAACTTTAGAATGTGACCTTATTCAGAGACAAGGCCTCTACAGAAGTAATCAAGTTAAGAAGAGGCCATTAGTGTGGCCCTAATCAGGCAATGACAACCCACTCCAGTCCTCTTGCCTGGAGAATCCCATGGACGGAGGAGCCTGGTAGGCTGCAGTCCATGGGGTCACAGAGTCGGACACGACCGAGCGACTTCACTTTCGCTTTTCACTTTCATGCAATGGATAAGGAAATGGCAACCCACTCCAGTGTTCTTGCCTGGAGAATCCCAGGGACGGCGGAGCCTGGTGGGCTGCCCTCCATGGGGTCGCACAGAGTCGGCCACGACTGAAGCGACTTAGCAGCAGCAGTAGCAATCCAATGTAAGTGGTATCCATCAAAAAAAAGGAAATTTGGACACACCTACACAATGGGAGAATCTCTGGTCTCTATAAGCTCATGGCAGAGGCTGGGAACAGATCTGTCCCTCATAGTACTCAAAAAGAACCAATGCTGCCAACATCTTGACGTTGGACTTTTAGCCTCCAAAACTATGAGACAATAAGCTTCTGTCACTTAAGACACATTGTTTGTGTTTCATTGTTATAGGGGCCTTTGCAAACAAATACACCAACTTTCCCTTAAAAAAAAAAAAAGATAACAAATGCTAAAGAACAGGATCAAATTTAAAACAAATAAATAAAAAATAGAGAATAACAACAAGCCCACAAGTAATACCTATTAAATAACTGATTAAAATGAGAACATGGAGAATTTCGATAGAAGTGTAGAATCTGTAATAAAGAAACAAATTAAAATTTTACAGCAGAAAAAAAACAGTATCTGTTATTAAAAATTCAGTGAAAGGGTATAAAAGCAGATTAGACTTAGCAGGGGTTAAGATTGATGACAGGAATACAGGTCAGGAGAAAATATCCATGTTGAAACACAGAGAGAAAAATGCAAAGAAGAAAACAAGAGAAATGCGACCAGTTAAAAATATCTAACACTCATGTACTTCCCTCATGGTTCAGACTGTAAAGCGTCTGTCTACAATGCGGGAGACCTAGCTTGAATCCCTGGGTCAGGAAGATCCCCTGGAGAAGAAAGTGGCAACCCACTCCAGTACTCTTGCCTGGAAAATCCCATGGATGGAGGAGCCTGGTAGGGTAGGCTACAGTCCATAGGGTCGCAAAGACTCAGACACGACTGAGCGACTTCAATTCACTTTACTTCACTTCAACACTCTTGCAATTATAATCCAAAAAATAAGGAGAAAAGGCTAAAAAATAACATTTGGAAAGTTCATGGTTGACACTTTCAAAGCTTATGAAAGATAACAACTCACAGTGTCAAATTATTATATAATTCCAAAGCAGGATGAACACAAAGAAAGCAAACCTAGGCATGTCATACTCAAACATTTAAAACAAAGGAAAAAGAGAAAACACTCAAAATCAATAAGAGAAAAATGACACATTACGTTCAAAACAATTCTTAATAAATTGTGTGAATGACAGAAGGCAATGGAATGACCTCTTCAAAGTGTTGAAAAAAAAGTATGAATACCAGTACTGACCTATATTAAAATTTGTAATAAAGCTACATTAATTAAGGCAGTAGAACATAGGACAATAGGAATAACAGTCCAACAGCACAGGTGATAAAGGGATCAAGGCAACAAGTTGATATAATAATTGTAAATATATATGCACCCAACATGCTGCAGCTGCTAAGTTGCTTCAGTCGTGTCCGACTCTGTGCAATCCCATAGACATAGGAGTACGTAAATACATAAAGCAAATATTAACAAACAAAAAAGAAGAAATTGAGAGTAACACAACAACAATAGGGTTTTTAACCCTTCACTTACATTAATACACAGATAATAGAGACAGAAAATTAAAATTAATAAGGAAACACTGGCCTTAAATGACACACTATCAAATGAACTTGAGAGATTCTTACAGAAAATTCCATCCAAAAGAATACACTCTTCAGGGGCACTAGAAGTATTTCCAGAATAGACCACATACTATGCCAAAAACAAGTCTCAGTAAATTTGAGAAAACTGAAATCAAATCACTCATTTTTTCAGACCACAGAGGTCTGAGACTAGAAATCAGAACAAGAAAAAAAAAACTGCAAAAAAACACTAGCATGTAGAGTCTGAACAATATGTTACTAAACAACTGATGTATTATAGCAGAAATCAAATAGCAAGTCAAAAAATACCTGGAGACAAATGAAAATGGAAACAAACTGATCAAAAATATGTGGGATATGGCAAAAGCAGTTCTAAGAGGGACATTTTTAGTAACACATCTTATCTCAGGAAACAAGAAAAATCTCAAATAAATAATCTAACCTTACACCAAAGGAACTATATAAAAAGAAGAATAAACAACACCCAAAGTTAGTAGAAGGCAAGATATCAAAAAGATCAGAACAGAAATAAATAACATAGAGATTTTTAAATAAATCAATGAAACTAAGAGCTAGTTCTTTGAAAAGATAAAAATCACAAAACTTTTAGCAAGACTCATCAAGAAAAACAAGAGCCAAAATAAAAGCAAAAATAAAAAAGAAGTTCTAACAAACACCCCAGAGCTACAAAAAATCATGAGAGTACTGAGAACAATTATACACCAGTAAAATGGACAATTCATAAGAAATGGATAAATTACTATAAATGTACAATCTCTCAAGACTAAATCAATAAGAAATAAAAAATATGAATAGACTGTAATGAACTGAATCAGTAATTTAAATAAACTCCAAACAAACAAAAGTCCAGGACCAGATGGCTTTATAGGTGAAGCCTACAAAACATTACAAGAAGAGTTAACACCTATCCTTCTCAAAGCACTCCCAAATATTAAAGAGAAAGGAACAAACACTCTCTATCTTATTCAGTGAGGTATCAGCCTGATACCAAAAGCAGACAAAGACAACACAAAAAAGAAAACTATAGAACAATATCATTGATGAACATAGATGTGAAAATCCTCAACAAAATATTAGCAAAACAAATTAAACAATATATTTTAAAAATCCATATACCAAGTGGGATTTATTCCAAAGGTGCAAAGATATTTCAATAACTGTAAGTTAAATATCATGATATATCATAATAACAAATTCAAGAGTTAAAATATTGTGAAATGCAGAAAAAGCTTTTAACAAAACCCAACATCACTATGACACCTCAACATAATAAAGTCCATGTCTGACAAGCCCATAGCTAATATACTCAATCATGAAAAACTGAAAGCTTTTCCTCTAAGATCAGGAACAAAACAAGGACCCTCACTTTCATCACTTTTATTTGGCATGGTACTGGAAGTCCTAGTGAAATTAATCAGACAAAAAATAAGTAAAAGGAAGTAAAAATGGCAAAAGTACAACTGTCACTGTAGCATGTAACATGATATTATATATAGAACATCCTAAAGAGGCTACCAAAAAACTATTGGAAGTAATAAATGAATTCAGCAAAGTTGCAAGAAAAAAAGACTAATATACAGAAATCTGTTGCATTTCTATACACTGACAAACTATCAGAAATAAAAATTAAGAAAACAATCCAATTTACAACTGCAACAAAAAGAATAAAATACCGAGGAATAAATCTAACCAAGCTGGTAAAAAACCTGTACTCAGAAAACTATAAGACACTGATGAGAGAAACTAAAGATGATATAAACAGATGGAAAGATGATGTAAAAAGATGGAAAGAAACTGTGTACATAGATTATAGGAATTAATATTGTTAAAATGACCATATTACCCCAAGCAATCTATAGATTTAATGCAATCCCTTATCAAAATACCAATGCCATTTTTCACGAAACTAAAATAAATAATTCTAAAATGTTTATGGAACCACAAAAGACCTGAATAACCAAAACAATCTTGAGAAAGAAAAACAAGGCAGGTGATATCACACTCCCTGATTTCAAACTATACTATACAACTACAAAATGGTATGCTTTAAAACGGTATGTTTTCAAACGGTATGTTTTCAAACGGTATGATTTCAAAAGGGTATGTTACTAGTACAAATACAGACACAGAGATCAAAAAAACAGAACAGTGAGCCTAGTAATAAGCCCACACGCACATGGTCAAGTAAGGTATGACAAAGAAGGCAGGAATATACAATGGGGAAAAGACAGCCTCTTCAGTAAATTGTGGTGGGAAAACTGGACAACCACATGGAAAAGAATCAAACTGGACCTCTTTCTCACACCATATACAAAAATAAATTGAAAAATCAATTAAAGACTTAAATGTAAGACCTAAAGCTATAAAACTCCCAGAAGAAAACAGAGGCAGTATGCTCATTGACAGTGGTCTTAGCAATATTTTTTTAAATATCTCCTCAGGAGACCAGGGGGGAACAAAATGAACAAACAGGACTATATCAAACTAAAAAGCTTTTCACAGTGCAGGAAACTACTACTAACAAAATGAAAAAGCCTATTGAACAGGAGAAAATATTCACAAAAAAACATATATGATAAAGGACCAATATTCAAAGTAGACAAAGAACTTATACAACTCAACATCTGAAAATCAAACAACACATTTAATAAATGGGCAGAATGTATGAATAGATATTTTTTCAAAGAAGACACACAGATGGCCAACAGGCACATGAAAAAATCTTCAACATTACTAATCATCAGGAAATGCTAACTAAAACCATGAGATATCACCTCATACTTATGATCAAAAAGACAAGAGATAACAGTGTTAGAGGATGTGGATAAAAGAGAACCCTCATACAATGCTGGCTGGAATGTAAACTGGTGCAGCCACTTTGTAAAATACTATAGAGGGGCCTCAAAAATTCTTAAAGACAGAACTACCATCAGTTCAGTTCAGTTCAGTCGCTCAGTCGTGTCCGACTGTTTGCAACCCCATGAATCTACCATATTGTCTAGAAATTTCACTTCTGAGTTTTTTCCTGAAGAAAACAAAAACTCTAATTCAAAAAGATACATGCACCCCATGTTCACTGCAATTACAATAGCCAAGATATGGAAGCAATTTAAGTGCCCATCAGTAGATGAATAGATGAAGATATGGTTTTATACACAAAATAGTATTATGCAAAAAGTGAAAACTTGCCATTTACAACACGGATGGACCTACAACACAGTACTAAGCTAAGTGAAATAAGTCAGACAGAGAAAAATAAGTACCATCTGACTTCTCTTATATGTGGAATATGAAAAACAAAACAAATGTACCAACATAAGCTGAGAGACCCACAGGTACAGAGAACAAACAGGTAGCTGCCACAGGGAAGAGGGTAAGGGGGGTGAATGAAATAGGTGAGGGAAATAAACAGATACAAACTTTCAGTTACAAAATAAGTGAGTTACAAGTATGAAATGTACAGTCTGGGGCATATTTTCAATAATATTGTAATGACTTTGTACAGTGATAGATGGTAACTAGGTTTATCAAGGTGATCGTTTTGTAATGTACAGAAATACTGAATTACTATGCTTTGCACCCAGAAATAACATAATGTTACAGATAATTATTCTTCAATTTTTAAAATTGACGATAAAATTAAATCTTTATAGACAGAAACTGAGGGGGGAAAGGGGGGGAAAATTATCATTTGGCCAAAATCTCGAGTTGTGTGACTACCATTAGAGATAATTTTTATCCCCAGGTACAATCAGAAAATCAGCCAGTTAACAACAACCACACTCAAATAACTAGCTTCTGAAAGTTTGCAAATCAATCACAACCCCAAGTTTCTAAAAGTCAGCCAATTAGTGACAGCCACAGCTTCTAGACTGGAGCCATTAAGTGCTTCAATCCACTGATGGGGATTCTGAAAGTGAGAAGACCAACAAGTAGTCTACCTCAACTAACTGCACCAACACAACTGAAAGCCTGTCTATACCTAAACACTCTCCTTTCTGAAAGCCCATGGGTCCCTGAACACTAGACTTCCCAAAACCTTATATAAGATTGGCTGGCTTTCTTCAGAAAGACTGGGTTTACAACTGGCCCTTACAAGCAAATTGTAAGGTCGTCATTTGTCTTGAGTAACATATCAAGTTCAATTTATAGTTTGTTCACAAGTTCACAGTCTTTTCAACAGTTCAGCTCTTTTATGATTAGTTATGAGTTTAGACATCTGACAGTTTCACTGACACAGCTGCAAGATTTTCAATTCAATATTTTCAATTCTTTAAATGTTTTTAAACTATTATCTACATTTTTATTTCCATATAGTTAAATCCCAAAATGCCAAAGCACAAGTGTAAATCTTGTAATGAATATTTTGAACAGTAGAAATTTCTCAACTGAAGAAAAGTTCCTTTTTGAAGTTTTTTGTGTGGTTTGCAATTGTTCACTAAACATCAAACTTGGTGGAAAGTCAAATATAAGCCTGCATATATTAACGGCTAAGCAAAAGAAATAAATGATTTTCTCATACAATACCAAAGAAGGTGATATAACAAATTTGGGGGATTAAGAAAAATTCAGAGGAAGAAGATATAAGAAATTGTAGCAGGCACCATTATAGTTTTTCACACTGTGTATCAGCAGTCTTTCTGCCCAAATGACTAAATGCACAACTACCATAAGTATTTATTTCAAAATTGTAAGCAAATTTTCAAGTGCCAGGTTAAAATCCACTGCAACAATTAAAGAATGAAACAGCTCCCTTTGCAATTACAGAAACATGAAAGATGGACATGTGTCACCTTGTTGGAGCACAGCCATAGGTGCAACTAATCACTGTGCAGAAAAGAAAATGTTCCCTTTGTTTTTGCATAGTATTTTTCTAGTGAAACAAAAAAGAGCCTTGCTCACAAGGTTTCACAAGTAAAATCCCTTCCAGATGAGACTTAGACAACAGGAAACTTTGCAGAGATTCTCTTATTGAGTTGAATTAATAAATAAAATACATGGCTTTGAGTGGAGATAATAGTGATGACATGTTTAAGACCACTTAACAATCAAAGTGGAATATAACTATGGTCCAGGCATCCCAAATAGAGTCGGGTGACCACCAGTGGGTGGGGTTTCAGACAAATTATTGCATCACTGAGAATTTGAATTTTCTGAACTGTATCAAACTCAAGGGCACCACCACTCATTTTCAAAACCGTACCTGCTAGCAGCTGCTGGATGCAACCCTGTAGTTTTACAGGCCCCCTCTCTTTTTCCCAGCTATGTAATCATTTCAAACTCCAACCCCAATTCTTGCTTAATGGACACCCTTACTTCTTGCCAGCTCCAATCCTAATTCTTAACAATTTATGTAACCTAGTAGCTTTCTCCCACCATTTTGTAGTCTGGTGGAACATATTTCAAGTACTTCTTGGATCTGTGTCTCCCAGGCTGCAGTCCTAACAAACCCCAAATAAATGCATTTTGTTGTTTTTTTTTTTTTTTGCCTCAACACCTCTCATCAAAATGTTCCTCTTTGTGAACCTGGTCTGAGCACTCAGCTCTGCCTCCAAGAACTGAATTACTGCCCAACATCAGCAGCTATGGTCTTGATATTAAAAGCAATTTCACACAATTTAAGAAATAAAAATATTATTTCCCAATTACATTATTTTCTGGATCTCTGATTGCCTCAGATGTTGAAATCTTTTCAGGAATTGTGGTCTGCAGAAACTTTTTATGAAGATCTAAAAGAAAAACAACAAAGTTATTCTGATACTTGTAATCTAACATTTTCATTTCTAAATCCAATTCTTCATGTGTTTTTCTACATTACCAACTTTTTTGTGTGCAATATATGCATCTGCTTTCCCTTTCTGCTGTTTTTTGGTCCTTCTTACCCATACATTTTTTAACCCTTTATAATCTTAAGGTTTCATTCTCTCTCTTTTCCTATCAGCAGGCAGGCAGTTTGACTAAGTGACAGCAACAAACTACACTGAGGTAAGAGACATGAAACTCCAGGACTTTGGCCCACCTCATGCAAAGAGTTGACTCACTGGAAAAGACCCTGATGCTGGGACAGGTTGGGGGCAGGAGGAGAAGGGGACGACAGAGGATGAGATGGTTGGATGGCATCACCGACTCGATGGACATGGGTTTGAGTAAACTCCGGGAATTGGTGACGGACAGGGAGGCCTGGCGAGCTGCGATTCATGGGGTCACAAACAGTCGGACACGACTGAGTGACTGAACTGAACTGAACTGAAGAGACATGGAAACAAAAAAAAAGTGGACTGCATCAAGAAACTGGGACCATTTGCAGGGGGCGTGGGGGGAAAGATACAGAATATTGAATACAAAGGTGATCTGCAATTTTCCACGGAAAGGGTGGAAGACTGCAGTTACCAATGAGGAACTCATTGATAAACGGCTTCTTCATGGCGGTGCAATTATTTCTAGAAGAGCAGAATTCTGAATGTCAAAAAGACCACATCTTTCATTTTTGCCCATTTTACAGACAAGGAAACCACCCAGAGAAATGAAAAGATTTTCCGCGCCAATGCTGCCTCTGCCTCCTTGGCTGCAGACCTCGAGGCCAAGGGTCAGAAGGGGTGGAAGGGAGGTCTGGGGCCGGACCCTGGACCGACAAGGGCAGCCCTCCAACTGGAGAAGGCGAGGTTCTGGACTTACTGGGGCCTCCGTGCAGTCCCCTGAGGACGGTGAGAAGGCCTAGAAGAAGGAACATGGCTCCGCTGACCTGGAGCCACACTGGCCCAACAGTGACGGTTGAGGCGTTGCGGCGAATGGGGGCCCAGCGCGGGTGGGAGACGCCCGCGGCGCGCGAGGAAAAGTCTGGAGCGGCTCCTGGCTGCCTCCGGGAGGGCCAGCGGGCACACCTAGCGTGGTGGGCAGCTGCGGCTGAGGAGAGAGCATCCGGTTTCTTGTGAAGGAAGGAAAAGCTGCGCAAGCTACAGTGCTCGGATGAGGCTGGTGGTGCCTGGTTTTGTTTGTATCTTCGACTTGGATTGACGGTTTTTGAAGTAGTTTCCAATTACAGTGAGGAGAAGGTGCAAAGGTAATGTATCATAATGCCATTTGCTAAAAATGGCTTTTCCTTACATCACCTGCTGCTGCTGCTGCTGCTGCTAAGTCGCTCCAGTCGTGTCCGACTCTGTGCGACCCCATAGACGGCAGCCCACCCGGCTCTGCCGTCCCTGGGATTCTCCAGGCAGAACACTGGAATGGATTGCCGTTTCCTTCTCCAATGCCTGAAAGTGAAAAGTGAAAGTGAAGTCGCTCAGTCATGTCCGACTCTTCGCGACCCAGTGGACTGCAGCCTACCAGGCTCCTCCGTCCGCGGGATTTTCCAGGCAAGAGTACTGGAGTAGGTTGCCATAGCCTTCTCCATTACATTACCTGGTGACTAGTAAATATCAGATAACCGCAGATATGCAGATGGCACCACCTTTATAAAAGAAAGTGAAGAAGAACTAAAGAGCCTCTTGATGAAAGTGGAAAGCCTCTTGATAAGAGTGAAAAAATTGACTTAAAGCTCAACATTCAGAAAACTAAGATAATGGCATCGGGTCCCATCACCTCATGGCAAATAGATGGGGAAATAGTGGAAACAGTGGCTATTTTGGGGGCTCCAAAATCACTGCAGATGGTGACTGCAGCCATGAAATTAAAAGACGCTTACTCCTTGGAAGGAAAGGTATGACCAACCTAGACAGCATATTAAAAAGCAGACACATTACGTTGTCAACAAAGGTACATCTAGTCAAGGCTATGGTTTTTCCAGTGGTCATGTATGGATGTGAGAGTTGGACTATAAAGAAAGCTGAGCACCAAAGAATTGATGCTTTTGAACTGTAGTGTTGGAGAAGACTCTTGAGAGTCCCTTGGACTGCAAGGAGATCCAACCAGTCCATCCTAAAAGAGATCAATCCTGGGTGTTCATTGGAAGGACTGATGTTGAAGCTGAAACTCCAATACTTTGACCATCTGATGCGAAGAGCTGACTCACTGGAAAAGACCCTGATGTTGGAAAAGACTGAAGGCAGGCGGAGAAGGGGACAACAGAGGATGAGATGGCTGGATGGCATCACCAACTCGATGGACATGAGTTTGGGTAAACTCCGGGAATTGGAGATGGATAGGGAGGCCTGGTGTGCTGCAGTTCATGTGGTCGCAGAGTCAGACACGCCTGAGGGACTGAACTGAGCATTTAAAAAGGGTTCTGACATTTATTCAGTTCAGTTCAGTCGCTCAGTCGTGTTCAATACTTACCCATCATCAGGCAAATGTGTGTATTTGCAAACACTGGTGCAAACACTGGGACTCGGGTAAACCTTGTGGTTGGATAGCCATTGTGGGTGTGTGTGTGCTCAGTCTGTCCGTCTCAGTCCTACAGGACTCTTCATGACCCCATGGGGCTGTAGCCGGCCAGGCTCCTCTGTCCATGGAAATTTTCCAGGGAAGAATACTGCAGTGGGTTGCCCTCTACTAGACAGTTATTGAAGGCAGAAGTCTCCTCCCCTCCACCCATACAATCTTTGTCCAAATAGAGACTTTTCAAAAACTCTTCTTTAATTTCTTTAATATCACAAGTTATTGCTGCCACACTGTGCAATCCTGTAGCCCCTAGTTTTTACTTTGCTAGCTCCTTTTACAATACATTCTGCCTCTATTAGGAGCAAGAAGAGTTTGACCTCTTGAGGTCTATCGGCATCCTTTCTTTCACAGATCCTCGCCCATAGCATACTAAATACACTAAAATATAGGCATACTTGATATTGACTATACATTTCCTTTAACAAATGTCAGAATCATGTTTATAAATTCACTTTGAAATTGCTTGGTTGTCCTGAAAAACAAAGAGAAGTTATTAGCAGAATATAACACCAACAAATAATTCTTAAAAATAACCAAGTGGCAAGAAATAAAATCGCAAGTGTTAGTATAAATAGTAGCATGGACACTTATTGCTCCAATTGACAAACTCTCCCAGGAAAGAACAAGAAAGATATATATATATATTTTAAACTAAAATTAAGAGATAAGGAGTAGAGAAGTGTTAATAATAGTATTTTCCAGGAGAAAAATTAAAATAACTAGAAGAAAATACTTAAAGGGATAATGGGAAAACTCTTTCTCTTAATTTGAAAAATAAGAGAATGGCTTTAGAAAGGACCTAAGTATTAAAAAGTTAAGAGAAAAGTGAAAGAAAAGGAGAGGACATTTGCAAAGTTTAATACCAACCAGGAATTACTATCTAGGATATCCAACATATCTGAGCACCCCTCCTAAACACACACACACACACACACAGACAAAGGTATGGGAGGAGACAGAAGGGGACAAAAAAATCCAGTAGCAATATAGGAAAACATTATGAATACTTTTTTTCATAAAGCATGATAAGTAAATGCTAAAAGGATATAAAGAGATCTTTAGTCTAAATAGTAATCACAATTGAGCAAATTAAAACAACAATGATATATCACTTTTCATCCAATAAATTAGCAAAAATTAGGGTGGGTGAATAGCACCAAGTGAAGGTAAGAATGAGGAGAAACATCAGACTTGGTTTGTAGGCATGTAAGCAGTAGTAACCATTCCAGAGAACAATCTGGCAGTTTTCCAAGAAATACTTTTTTAAATATATTCTGTGATTTACCAAGTCCAGTCCTGGGGATGACTTCTGGTAAAGGTTACATGATTCCTCACACAGAAAATAATTATAAATGCCTGGCAAAATACCTTTAAAACCCAAAGGACCTGGAAAATGACCAAAGGCAGACACAAACTTGAAAAGAGTTTACTCTTAGAAGACTACATCTAGTAAGAACTAAGAGTTTGTGTAGCTTTCTTGCCTGGTCATGCTCCACAACTACAATAGCTCAGGCAGGGAAAAACTGCATGCAGCCTCAACGGGAGCAGATCACACAGCATACGAGAAAATATTAATCTAAAGCAGAAGATGCTCGTTATGGTTTCCATCTTTTTAAATTTAAGACTTGTTTTCTGAACTGTCTGGGGAATGTTCTATGTATAATCAAGAATGTGCATTCTTCTGCTTTGGGTGAAAAGTTCTGTATATGCCTGTTGGGTCCACATTGTCTGTAGTGCTGTTCAAGTGTGCTGTTTATTGATTTTTCTGTGCGTTTTACCTATTATTTAAAATGGGGCACTGAAATCCCCTACTATTATTGCATTGCTGTCAATTTCTTCTTTCAGATTTGTCAATACTTGTTTTACACACTAAGGTGCTCTGATTTTGAGTGTATGTATGTTTACAACTGTTATATCTTTCTGTTGAATTTACCCTTTAATCATTCTGTCATGATCTTTTTTTTTGTCTCTAGAGGCAGTTTTCGATGTGAAGTCTGCTTCATCTGATTTAAACGTAACCATTCTTTTCTTTTTGTTATCATTTGTGGGAAATATCTTTTTCTTCCTCTCACTTCCAGCCTATGGATACATTCAATCTAAAGTGAGCTTCCTGTAGATAGCATACGGTGGGAGTTTGCTTTCATTTTTAATCATTCAGCCACTCTGTATCTTTTCATTGAGAAGTTTAACCCACTTTCATTTAAAGTAATTATTGATAGAGAAGGATTGATTATTGTTATTTTATTAACAGTTTTGTATTTGTCTTGTAGTTCTTTTGTCACTCTCTTCTCTCGTTATAGCAAACCAAAAAGCTCTTCACAGCAAAGGATACAGTTAACAAATGAAAAAGCAACCTATGGAATGGGAAAAATACTTGCAAATCATATATTTGAGAAGGGGTTAATGACCAAAGTATATTTGGAATTCATGTAACTCAATAGCAAAACAAAATCACAAATAGTCCACTTACAAAATAGGCAAAATGACCTGAATAGACATTTTTCTGAAGAAGACATATAATTACCAACAGATAGATGAAAAAGTGTTGAACATCACTAATTATCAGGGGAATACAAATAAAAACCACAACAAGATAAAGTCTTCCAACTTTTAGAATGGATATTACCAAAAAGATAAACAGGACAAGTATTGTCAAGTGTGTGTGTGGAGAAATTGGAATTGTGGTATGCTGTGGAAGAAAGAATATAAACTGGTACAGCCATTAGGGAAAGCAGTATGGCAGTTCCTCAAAAATTAAAAATAGAATACCATATGATCCAGCAGTCTTACCTCTGGGCATATGTCAAGAGTAAATGAAGTCAGTATCTCAAAGAAATATATGCATACCCGTGTTCTTTGAGGCATAATTCACAATAGCCAAGATATGGAAATAACCTGTGTCCATAACAGACAAATGGATAAAGAAAACATGATATATTTATTCAGCTGTGAAAAAAAAGGAAATCTCACTCTACGCATTCCTGCCCTTTCTCAATCCTGCCATTTGTGACAACATGGATAAACACAGAGGACATTTGCTAAGTTAAATAAGACACAGAAAGATAAATACTGTATAATCTCATTTATATATGAGATTTCAAAAAGAATGTTAATAAGCTTTACTTGACATTTACATATTTGACAACTACAAAACGTACATTTTTAGTGCACATGGAACATTCACCAAAATAGACCATAGAGTGGATCATAGCAAAACAATAGTTTCAGAGTATGAGAATTATGCAAGTATGTTCTCTGACCATGACTAAATTAATAAAAGATGAAACTGAAAATATCCAAATATTTAGAAATGAAACAACATACTTCTAAGAATCCATAATTCTGAGATCAAACTAACACATCAGAACTTATGAGATATAGCTAAAGAGATTCATAGAGCAAATATGTATCTCTAAATGAATTAGAAAAGATTTAAAAACAATGAGCTAAACTTTCACCTCAAGAATCTAGGAAATGAGCAAATTTTAAGACATAAATCAAT